TTTTTTTATAATGGCTGAGGTATTTGATCCATTGGGATAGCCAAGATATATTTGATCTTGTATGATTGGTGTGCTTCTAAAAATAATAATATAATTTTATTGATTTTGTCTCTTATCCATAATTATTTATATAACTAGTTTTCAACATATATTGTTTTAGTAATTCAAATGGGAGATTTACAAGGAAATAATAAAGGAAAAGGAAAAGAGAAAAAAATATGAAGCTTGGAATAAGGAGGATTCCGATGAATTGTTACAATTGATAGTAGATGCTATAAAAAGAGGATAGGATATTATGGACAATTATTATTATTATTATTATTATTTATCTAGACATTATTGTTTTTTTTATTATTTTTGCCTTTGACTCTTTTTAAATTTGAATGTATGAATTTTTTTTTAAAATCTTATCAAATGTCAAAACTCCACAAAAAATCTATAAAATTCACAAAATCTCACAGAATCCATTAAAATCCTGATTTAAAAGTCTTGCAAAATCCATTAAAATCCTGATTTTAAGTCTTATAGAATCCTGCAAAATCTTAAAAGTCATAAAAATCCTGCAAAGTCTTTTAAAATCCGCAGGATTTTTTTTAACTAAAAAAGTCCTTTAAAATCCTAATCCAATACACCCCCCTAAATTTATATATTTTTTCACAAAATTCTACACATTAATTATCACAAATATAACATTTAACGAATAAAAATACAACTCTTAATTTAATATAAATTTTAAACTAAACAATCTAATATTTCTTCATTTTCTCCTGCATATTAATTGTCAAAATTTTAAAACTTCCTAAACCATTAATGAATTTCAGTAATGAAAATAAAAAAATCAATTTCATATCATTTTTTTTTAGTATATATACATATATTATATCATTAATTTATTATTTTTATAAGCATTACACGTACAATTTATGCATAATATTCAAAAATCCTTAAAATAATTTTTAATTTTACAAATTTTAATAAAAACATAAATTTAAATAAAAAATTAATCTTCAATTTTTTTAAAAAAACTTTTGTGATATCTACTCACCAAATTTATTTTTTACCATTTTCCAGCAATAATTGGTAAACATATTATAAAATTTACCAAATAAATATATATATATATATATATATATATATATATATATATATAAATGATAAACTTATATATATTTGTAAAATTTCTCATGCAAATTATATATTATTATAAATTTATATAAATCTTTCTCAAAATTATTCATATTAATTACCACTCGTATAAAATTTGACGAATAAAAATACAACATTTAATTTAATACAAATTTCTAATGAATCATTATGTCAGTTTTTAAATTTGTCAATTTATTTATGATATGTAACTAAAGTAGTTTAACTTTAAATTTAAATTAAGACAAACAAATTTAAAATTATCATTGATACATTGAGTACATATTTTAATTTGTTATTTTTTATATTTAAACATCTATGAATAAAACATAAAATTCAAATGTTTGATTATTTAATTTTTATTTTTCTTCATATTATGATTATGTAGTATAAAATACATTCATATATTGAATGAATTATTTTATTTTTTGTTTTGTAAATTTTGATAAGCATGAGATATTTATGTTATAAGAAAATATTTAATAACTATATTTAAATTAGTTTAATATATTTTATATTTAATATATATATATATATATATAGTTATTCTTTTCCAATATTAATGTGGCAGAAAAAAAAATTAATCAGTTTAATATTTAAACCATTGTAATTCTTAAATTATTTAACACAATAAATACTACATAACACAATGAAATTCTATAATTTAATATTTCTTGAATTATTCATCAGTTACATAATTACTTTTAAAAACTCTTTTCTATTTAATTAAATTCAATTTTAAATTTATATATTTAACATATATATGTATATTTATTTAAATTTATTGTATATATTAAATTTAGTATAAATTAATATATTTAACCTTTCATATTCATCTTATGATTTTAATAATTTAAAACAAAATAATTTATCTAAAGTCTTTTCATTTTCTCCTGACATATTAATTGTGAAAATTTCTTAATTCATTAATAAATTTCATAACTTTCTAAACGAATAATAGATTTAAAAAATAAAAATAAAAAATTAATTTAGTATCAATTTAATGACCAAATAGATGATATAAAGACTATCATTGATATTTCACTTGATATACTTATTAAAAAGTCATATGATCTTTATGATATTGATTATATTTTATAAATTTGACAACTATCAAATGAATTCGTAAATTACTCACATTTAAAAAAATTATTTTTCAACAAGCTTAATTAAATATTAATCAATATTTGAAACATAATTCATAAGATTAGTTGAATATAAACTTTAGTAACAAATTTATTTTTTTAATAATTGATAATTAAATAAAATAATAACAATAAAGTTACATTTAATTTCAAAATACTCGATTATTAATTTTTACTCACACGAGTTAAGATCTAGTGATAGTTATTAATATCGTTTCTTATACTAAGAAGTTTTCTTATTTAAAATATTATATATATAGAGAGAGAAACTATGCATCGATAATATAAAATAATTTTAAATTATTATTCAATTATAACTTATTATATATTAAAAATTTATTGATTTTTATAATAATTATCTTAAATGTGGTATAAAAGTAATTTCTAATTATATACCCTTTTTTATATAAATAACCATTAATTTTTTTTAATAAATAAAGGATTAATAGTCTATTTAAATATAATTTAGAAGTGTTTTTAATAGTTTTTTTTTATTAAAAATAAAGAGTATTTTGGGTGAAAAAAACTCTTAAAAACTCTTAAAAGTATTTTTAATTTTGTATCCAAATAAACCCTTATGTAAATAAATTCTTTTAAAACTTTCTCCAGCCTTCCACTAATGAGGTTTTAGAAACATACATATGGAAAAAAATTCTTAGTCTGAGTTCCCTTTCTAAATAGACAACCAGTCTAAAATCAAACCATATACTACATGCCATTTGCAGGCCAATGCTCTCCATTTGACACTTCCTCTCTGCTTTCATACATTACTTGCTAATGGTGTCCTCAAGTAACTTTCCATCAATTTCAATTTTTAATTTTAAAGAGCAAATAGGTTGTGCTCTCATAACTTTCGTTCAATTTCAAGGAGAGTGTATGTTTTGTACCCACTGCTATTTGATAAAAACTGCTATATAATAAATTTATTGTCTTTTATAAAAATAACTTAAATATCATACATATATTATTAATGAATTTTGTTTTATTTTAATGTGAAAATAAGCTTAATATCATGGCATGGATCTATGTCCATTAAACTTTAGATTTAATTTTTTTTATGCAAAGTATATCAACATTTAATACTGAGTAAGAACTTATAATAACTCATGCACCATTAGAAATAAATGCGTTAAGCTAATGGAGATTTTACTAAAACTACATGACTATTATTAAGGATTTATTAATTAAAGAATGAAGAATAAAAAGATTTTATACAAATGCTGTTGCATTGCATAGAGATGCATTCGACATTTCCAAAGTCTTCAGCTACTCTAACCTACTTCACATAAAACCATAACAACATTGTTTCCATCGACCCAGTTCCTAGGCTTCCACTGCCCTATTATCTAGCCACAATCTAACACTTACCAACAAGTTTGGCCTTTAGCATTTCCTCTTCCAACCCTCTCTCGTTTCTCTCTCCAGGTAACACCCCACTTTCTCTGGCCTTCTTGTTCTTGTTTGCTGGTTTCTATTGCGAACTGGGGCATTGATCAATCTGCATGAGTTTGCATTTGATCAAGGGATGTGTCTATGCATGCTTTTTTTGTCCTTTTTATGGATTGGTCATTGGTTTAAAGCATGTTGTATTTGATCAAGTAATGTTTTTGTCGTTATAGACAGTGAGTGACAAATGAGAGTTTTAAACAAGTGATGGGTCAATGGTGGGGATTTATGGGGATCAAGTAAATTCGACTAAGGTGGCGTTTTCATGTTTTTATTATTTATGAGGAAAAAAAAAGGTTTTTGAGTCTGGGTGTAATGTAGTAAAGGGCTTTAGTGTTGAGGGGTAAAAAATTCGATAAAATGACTTAATTTTTTTTTTCCCCCTTTCTTGTTCTTGGCCAATTTTAGAACCTTCTGATCAACAAGGAGGTTGGATTTCTTTTATTCAGTTGAACATGATTGGCCATTGGTAGAACCATTGGCTTTCTAGTCTTTGATGATTTTAATTGGTTAGAAGTTTTTTATTTCTTTTCTTATATAAAATATTCTAAGTAACCAAATTATATGCATAATTCACGGTAGTAAACATTGACTGGTGAATCCATCAAAGACAAAGTTAAATACACTCATTATTAGGCTAAATGATGACTTTTCAGGGTTTTTTTTTTGTGATAATTTTATATAAAATATGCTTAGTGAAAAGTTGGAGCCAAAGTCTGTAGTCAAATATTGTATGACATAAGCAAGTAAAGTTTCGATTGATGACCATTAGAATTGAGTTAACTTCTGAATTATTTGGTATCCTGGGGTAGGTTTATTTGTTATCACAAGTTTGTTAAGTACAAGGTTTGGACAAATGGAAAAGGAACTAATTGTTTCTCAATATACTATTATTTGCTGGTCCTAATGTTAGTTTTATGTGCAGATCTGGGTGCTCTTTCATCATTTTACATTTGTACAAGATGGCAACAACAACAATTTCCAACTTGCCAACTGCAATGTCAAGACCCAAGATTCCTTCATCACAACGGATTGCAAATGTAGGTCCTGCAATTCTTGGAGGCAGGTTTAAGGTTGGCTCATGTTATAAACTGTCAAGTGTTTGTCATGTTGCATCTGCACAACCTTTCCAGCAGGGCTTGACAATGACATCAGGTGCTATAAAACATGACAAAATCATAACAAAGGCGATCATCAGGTCTAGTCCAAACCAGGAAATTCCAGGATTGCCAATTGATTTGAAAGGTTTCACTTCTTTTCCATCAATTTTCATGACGATTTGGCTTTTACTTACATATTTGTTTGCAGGATGTACAAACATCATATACTCTGTGTTTTTATTTACTTTATTCTGTAATTTTGAATTTGGCTTTTATATTTATGATTCGAAGAATACATGCCCTTAATATCCCTTCCTGTGGTTATTTGATGTAATGTCAATATGAAGTGTAGTGTTGTGACTACATAACCTCTTTTCCCTATTCCAGAGTTTACTCATTCTGAAATCTACTTTGCTGAAAGTTGGTTTACTAGAAAGGTAATGTTTAAGAAACATTGCTCTTTAGACTGTATTTATAAACTGATGAAAGGAGTCCTTTGCATCTGCGGCCTACATGTGATATAACAACACAACAATAATATTTAAGTATTTACCTTTTTCTCATAAATCTCTTATTCCCAGGTGTACTTTTATTTTTCTAACTGTCCTTTCTTATATCTTTGATTTGTTGTGGCATGATTTTTAAGGTATCCTATGCTCTCTTATCCTTGATTTACTGTGGCATTCCACCGAATGTTATGCAGGTAAAAGGGCTTTCATTGCTGGTGTGGCTGATGATAACGGATATGGTTGGGCAATAGCAAAATCTCTTGCAGCAGCAGGAGCTGAAATTCTTGTTGGCACATGGGTACCTGTAAGTATATATTACAAAATCTAGTGTTTTGTTTTGCACGTTGTTTACTTTTATGCTGAAATCATGTTATCTTTGTGCAATATTCAAGTGGTCAGGTACTAACTTTGAACATTTTCATGTAGGCTTTAAATATATTTGAGTCTAGCTTACGACGTGGAAAATTTGACGAGTCACGCAAGTATAACTTTTAAATGGTGCTATCGATTTCATTAGTTCGTAAATATGAAACTCATTTGCTTTGCTAACAATGAACTCCATTTTTCAGATTAAAAGATGGTTCATTGATGGAGATTGCTAAAGTGTATCCTTTGGATGCAGTATATGACAATCCTGAAGATGTCCCGGAAGATGTAAGAGAGAATTACATAATTTTTAATGAAATACGCAAAGTACATTTACAAAACATATCATCTATTTCTGTTGAAAATTGTATAGGTGAAAGCTAACAAGCGCTATGCTGGAGCCTCAAATTGGACTGTACAGGTATAGATTAATCATTCTATCATCTGTATTTCTCTACTGTTGCAATATCCTTTCAATCCTTTTGTTGTGAAACGAGTGTCAATTATGTTCCAATTCCCAAAGAGCTTTTTAATTAAATTTATCTTAAAATGTTGAACATATTATCAGTTTTGTCTACTTGGACGTATGAGTTTGTTTTTAATTCAATTTGCCATCTTTTTAATCCTTTTGTTTTGCCAAAGAGCTTTTTATTTATAATTTTTCATAATGGAGATAAAATCTAGGCGATTCATGGTTGAAACATAGGATGCTTTGTTGAGTACTGTTTACTTAGCGATCTGTCTCATGTTGTGGTTAAATAAGATTAACCATACGTAGTATACTATGATATGTTTTACCTTATAGGAAGTTGCTGAATCTGTCAAGAAAGACTTTGGCAATATCGACATACTTGTGCACTCTCTTGCCAATGGACCAGAGGTATTACAAAAATAAAGTTTGTTGTTGCCTGATGTCTTTTAAGCATTAACGAACACTCAACTCTGTTTTAGGTCAGTAAACCATTGTCGGAGACATCTCGGAAAGGATATCTTGCTGCCTTGTCTGCATCAAGTTACTCTTATATTTCTTTACTCAAACACTTTCTTCCAATCATGAACCAAGGCATGTCCATTACCTAAAAGGGTTGGCATTTTATTGCTTCATCCTTCAGTGTATAGTTCTCACCTTTCTGTTTTGGTTGTAGATGGATCTGCAATCTCTCTTACATACATTGCTTCGGAGAGGATCATTCCTGGGTGTGTTGGATATGCTTTAAAATGCACATGCTTGTTTGATAACATTTTTTAGTTGTCTAAGTTTTGAAATGTCTTATATGCAGATATGGTGGTGGCATGAGTTCTGCAAAAGCTGCTTTAGAAAGTGATACAAGAGTGAGTTTTTTTTTTTTTTTTTTTTTTGTTTTCAAATGCACATAGGCAAATAGATATGTTTTTCTAACTTTCATTTTCCTAACTTTCTCCCTCTCTCGTTTTCCCCTTTGGTTATTTGAAATTATATCCCAAGTTTTCTTCTTTTTCAGGTGCTTGCTTTTGAAGCTGGTAGAAAGAAAAGAGTCAGAGTCAATACTATATCCGCAGGTATTGATGGCTTCTTGTGACTTCATTAGCTAATGATTCTTTTGTGCTTTCCTTTTCTCTATGTAATGGCATATAAATCCATGATCTGGAGCAAGGGATGCCAATTGCATGGAAAAATAGGAAGATTGTAAAGTCTTTTATGCTTTGCTCTTGTTATATTACAACATTATTGATTATTGATGTCTAATTCCTCAAGTATACACAATTTAGGGTTGATACAACAATAATAACAATAACCTTATTTGATTAGGTGAGGTCACATACATTGAATGATTTAAGAAATATTATTTACCATAAGATTCCTTTACATAATTTTTTCCAATATCTTTTTGGTCTCCCTCTGCCCTTTTTCACAAGATTGATGGAGAATTAAAAAGGTATATTTGTCCCAATACGTTTTATTATTATTATTATTATTATACATGCCTAAAGACTTTTTTTTCTCTCCTAATACTGTGTAACCACTTACTCCCTCATGTCTCTTTTATAAGAAAAAAAATCGGCACATTCTTTGTTTTCAAATATATACAAATTTCAATTACTTTTACTCAAAATGTGTGAAATTGTTTTAACAGAGGAAGTATGTTTTAAATGCAAGTTAACTTTTCCTATAAGGTAGATTTTTGCATGTCAATGAATGTAGTGCAAGTTGGTAAACATGTTGACTTAAATTGTTTTCAATGGCTAGGTCCACTGGGAAGCCGGGCAGCGAAAGCAATCGGCTTCATTGACATGATGATTGATTATTCATTTAACAATGCACCACTGCAGAAAGAACTACATGCTGGTAACGTGTCCCTTGAGATTCTTCCTTTCTGAAATAACCCTTCACCTTTTTGTAAGCAAAACTTAACACTTTGGAGTTGTTGTAACAGAGGAGGTAGGCAACACTGCAGCTTTCTTGGCATCACCCTTGTCATCAGCTATTACAGGTTCTGTTATATATGTTGACAATGGTCTAAATGCTATGGGTGTTGGAGTTGACAGTCCAATATTTAAAAACCTTGACATTCCAAGGGAGCATCAATGAAATTGTCCACTCAAGTGCTTAGTTTTTTCTCTTCTTCCCCAAGTAAGGTCACACGGCTTAAGATGATGAAAAGAAACTATGACAAGTTAGTTTTTACAATTTCATAAATCGGTGAGCGGTTGTTTGAACTTTGTAACAGTTGTTTTTTCATCAATTATGATCCACTTTTCACTATCTTCCCCCAAAATGTATCTTACCATTTGAAGAGTTGTACCTTGAGGTTAAATTATTTTAGTTCTTAAATAAAAAAATTGTCAGGTTTGTTGAATTTTCCTATGTGCAAGGTCCTTCACTTTCAAACTTTCTAACATTTGTTGAACTATACACCTATTTGAAAGCACATAAATTATAGTGTGCAATTGGACTAAGAACACTCTTGAATAAGTTTTCATATATGTTCATATTACAAAAGTTAACAGCTATTATTATCAATGAGTTAGGACTAGTGTTTTCGGGTCACAACATTTATAAAACTAAATTTTCAGATAATGAGGTAACTGCATATGAGTATCTGTAGAGTATGGAGATGAACTTTAAAGTTGTCACCAATATTTTGGTATGGAAATAGATATTATAGTATCCTATCTATTGTCACCCTCATTTGATAAGTGTTTATTATTTTGGAAATGTTAAAATTACACAAGAGAATACATTTTTTTTATAAATGTTAAAATTAGTGATAAATTTGAGAAATTATTTTACTTGGTCTTTTATTATTCAAGAATATTTTTTTGTTGCAACTCAAGTGCTCCAAGAACATTTATTAGATTAACAGTGTCATGCCTGAATTAACTTATTAATGTTATATTTAAGTAATAACAGTAACAATAAAGTAAATTCCCCTCAAAAAAAAAAAAACAATAAAGTAAATAAGACATAAAAAAGGAGATAGACATATTTAGTTTTAAGGTGAGAATTTTCTAATAGGTGCAATGTGTTACTTTGGATTGATTTGGGTAGGGGGATGGGATGGAATGGAGTGAATTAACATAAAATAAAGGAATGGAATATAATAAAATAAAATTTTCATTTTATTATTTGGGTGTATAATTATAGAATAAAGCAAAATTGTCATTGGATAAAAAAAGAAATAGAATAAATTATTTTTTTTATTGTTATATTATTCTTATATCTGTATTCTTTTAGTGATTAAAAGTGGTTGTAGAGTAAGGAGGCAACTCCGAGTTTCTTTCTATTACATGTTGGCTCTACACCGAAAAGAAAGCATGTTGGGCTTGGGTTGCAACTAGAGGCTCGAAATGTAAGCAATTCTATCTAGTTATAACTAGGTTCATGATATATACACCTCCTTTTTTTCTATAAGTACACTTCCTTTTTTTAAAAAATAATTAAATTTCTAAAATATTCTTAATTTTTTTAATTTTTTTGTTTTTAATTTTTAATTTTATATCTACAATATTTAATTTATTACTTTCTTTTTCACACATCTTTCCTCCTTTTTTAATTTTTACATATATCCCCTTACCTTTCTTTCATCACATCTATTTTGGTAGCATGTGAAAATTAAAAAAAAAGTGTGTGAAAAAAAAGAAAAAAATAGTAAATTAAAAGTTAGAAGTGTAAAATTAGAATTTTTTTTTTAAAAAAAAACTACAATATTTTATAAATTTTTTAAAAAAGGAGGTATACTTATAAAGAAAAGGAGGTGTATATATCATGAGCCTTATAACTATTCAAGTAACTTTTAGGTATGTGTTTGAAAAATCTTTTTATATGTATTGAACAAACTTTTCACTTTTCAATATAAAAAGAGCTAAAACAAGTGTGGTGTTGCCTACAAACACACCTCTAGAGGAGTTTTCATTTTCAGGGAGGGTTGCCTAAGTAAAATGACTTCTAAAGGATTCGAACCCACACCTGGAAAAATTGAACATATGTTTCGGACTCTTATCTACATGTGTCAAACATGGAGAACATATGTTTTTTATTGTATCATTAATATCAGCGAGACACTTCATATTTTTATATATTTTTTAAAGAAAAAAATATTATTTTTGTGCATAAAAGTGATAGTCCATAGTTATTAATTGTGAATGATAAAAACAAAAAAAAAATCAATTAAAAGAAAACACTATACAATTAGTAAAATTTTGATACTTAAAAAGGATAAACACTTTAAATGTTTTGATAAAATAAAAAGGGACAAAAGGGTCCATATGAAATAATAAATAAACATCATTTATTACTTATATTTCTTTTTCTCATCCAAACATACTAGAACAAAAAATAATAAGTATGTTAACGGATTTAAGACTCATTTCATTATAAAAAAAATCACATTTGATATATATTAGTGTTTCAAAATGAGATACGCAGAGAATGAAGAATATCACTTTGCTTATTTGATCAACCTGTCTAAAATACATGTGTTTTGTTGTATATATACAACACTTGAGAAAAGGAAAGCTAACAAACTCTTATCAGAAAAATATTGTTGCTAACTAACTAACAAAACGTAATTGATAATAATAGAAAATATATCAAGAGAGAAAAATAGAAAAATTCTAAATCTAATACCCTCTCTCAAGGTGGGTTGTGGATATCAATTAAGCCCAACTTGGACACATTAGCTTGAAACGATGCTGGATACAAAGACTTGGTAAACATATCAGCAAGTTGATGTTTAGATGGAACATGTGAAAGAATAATGAGACCTGCAAGAATTTTTGCACGTATGAGATGACAATCTACTTTGATGTGCTTGGTTCTTTCATGAAAAGAGGGATTTTTAGCAAATTGTATGGCAGATTGTTTGTCACAAAATGAAGGAAAAGGAAGGGGAATTGCAAGACATAAATCATCAACAACACACTTAATCCATTGTAGTTCACAAGTCACTGAAGTTAGTGCCCTGCATTCTACCTTTGTCGAACTTCGAGAAATAGTATTTTGTTTCTTAGACTTCTAAGAAATTAAGCAATTACCATAAAAGATACAGTATCTTGTAACTCACTTGCGAGTAATGCAACATGTGGCCTAATTTGAATCAGAATAAGCCTGAATTCTATGAGGATTATGAGCAGGATAGAAGAGTCATGTACCAGGTGCATTCTTCAAATATTTAAGAACTCGAAATGTAGCCTATAAGTGTGAAGTTCTAGGCTTAGATATGAATTGACTAAGCTGCTGCACAACAAAACTAATATCAGGTCTGATATTAGTTAAGTATAGAAGCTTTCCAATTAATCATCTAAAACTAGTGGGATCAATGATAAGATCACCTTCATCTTCATTTAGTTTAATAGAAGGATGTGCTGGAGAATTGATTGGTTTACATCCAGTAAGTCCAAATTCAAAAAGAATTTCAAGACAATATTTCATTTGATTCAAGACCAATCCTCTATTAGATTGTGCAACTTCAAAGCCCAAAAAATACTTCAATTCACCAAGGTCCTTGATGTGAAATTGATTATCAAGATAATCTTTTACTTTATCTATCATACAAAGATTGTTACTTGTAAGCATTATATCATCGACATAGACTAAAAGTGTTGTGAATGATTCAGTAGTATGCTTTACAAAAAGAGAATGATTAGTTGAACTTTGAGTAAAACCAAATTGAATTAGAGCAGAAGTTAATTTTGCATTCCATTGTCGACTAGCTTGCTTTAATCCATATAAAGCTTTTTGTAATTTTCAAACAAGGTTTGATGAAGGAAGCATTAATCTTGGTGGTGGCTTCATATAAACCTCTTCTTGAAGATCACCATGTAAAAATGCATTATCAACATCAAGTTGATGTAAAAACCAACTGGAAGACACTGCAATGGACAGAAGAAATCGTATAGTAGTTAATTTGACTACTAGAGAAAATGTTTCAAAAAAATCCACCCCTTCTATTTGTGTAAAACTCTTAGCCACAAGTCTTGCTTTATGTCTTTCAATGGAACCATCTGCTTTGTATTTGGTTCTATAAACCCATTTACATCCTGCAACTTTATTTCCTGGAAGAAGGCTAACCAATGACCAAGTGTTGTTCCTCTCTAGAGTTTGTAATTCGGCAACATGGCTTGCTTCCAGCAATCAAGTTTACTAGCTTCTTTGAAGGAAGTGGGATTAATTGTACTAGATACAGATAAGCAAAAAGAAGTATGGGAATTAGAACACTTAGAATAAGAAATATAAGAATGTAAAGGATGTTTGGTACTATAAGTGACATTGGATGAAGCTATTGTTGGGCAATGATAATCAGCTAAGCATGAAGGAGGCTTTTTAATCCTTGTTGAGACTCTTGCAGCATGCTCAGTAACTTGGATAGAATGATGAGAAATAGATTCAATATTCTGTGTAGGAATAGTTGAATCAATAGTGTCAAATTGAATAAGAGAATCAAATTGGGATGTGTCAATAATACTACTTGTAGTGTCTATATTGGGCAATTAAAGAATTAGTGGCATGTGAAAAATGGTTTTCATAGAAAATAACATCTCTAGAAATGAAAAAGGACTTGTTTTGAAGATTATACAAAATATATCCTTTAGTTCTAGCTTTGAAACCCAAAAAAATGCACTTTTAAGCTCTTTTATCAAATTTAGTTCTTTCAGAATTAATAGTGTTAGCATATGCTAGGAAACCAAATACTTTTAAAGTATTTAAAACATGAGCATGATCGTGCACAAGTTCATAAGGAGCTTTAAGTTTTAAAAAAGGAGTAGGTAAATGTTAATTATGTGAGTGGAATTTCTAACAACAAAGGACCAAAAACAAGTTGGTAAATTTGCTTGAAACAATAAGGCACAACTAACATTTAACAAGTATTGATTTTTTATTTCAACAATATCATTTTGTTGAGGAGTCTCAACACATGAAGTTTCATGAAATATGCCTTTTGTAGATAAAAAATCATTTAAGGAAAATTCCTTACCATTATCAGATCGGATTCTCTGTAATTTGAGTGCAAATTGATTTTCAATTAATTGAATGAAAGAAGGAAGAATGAATTTGACATCAGATTTAGATTTTATTAAATGAATCCAAGTAAACCTGTTGAAATCATCTACAATAGATAGAAAATATATAAAACCATCCATAGAAGTAGTGGAAATAAGGCCCCAAATGTCCACATGGATAAGTTCAAAAAATCTAGAACTTTTGTTAATACTAACAGGAAAAGAAATTTTCTTTTATTTTGCATAATGACATGTGTCACAAGGTTGAAGATAATTAAAAATAATATCATTGTATTTAGAATACAAATGCTTTAACACTTTGTTTGAAGTATGTCCTAATCGAAGATGCCACAACATAGA